AAAGCAAATCTATAATTACCATCCATCTCCAGTGAAGCCAAGAAAACCATTTAGGCACCCTAGGCATTTGTGAAAATTTGTCTATGATATGATGGATATTGTCCAGCTGTGCTTGAACAGTCTGAGAGAAATCAGACAAATTAAAGCAGCCCATTTCTGGGATCTGTTCACATCCCATATGTTCTTTTAACCGTAGATAGTCTATAGTCATAAGATTTTGGAGTGCTACAACTTGCACCCCTCCCAACTCCTGATTCCTGGCCAACTAATTTTAACACCTACTTATTCATGAAGCTATAGAATCCAGTGATTCTACCTCAGTCACCTAACAGCCAACTCCATGGTCTTTCAGGAACCAAAGTACCAAGGGTCTAATTAATTCCAACAAAAACATTCTCAGTGAAGTAATCCCCAGACAGAGAGTGAAACAGGGGCTCTGCTTGGCAGTGGGGGTGAGATGGACAGAGGACTATAACTGGTGGAATATGAAGTTTTTGATCTCTAAAAATGTATCCTTAATGCACCATTCTCTCTAATTCCCTTATTCTGCTGCCTGGCATTCCCCTCTCCATCCCTGGGGCAGCACCCTTGGCCAGGAAGCAAGCCCCTCTGCAGGCCTCCCAGCGCTCTCCATGACCGCCGTCCTCCCCACCTGTACCTCAATGGTATACTGCTCAAAGATGCGCAGCTGCAGGAAGATGTCCAGCTTGATCTTCCGCTCATGGAACAGCTCCTCCATCTGCACCTGGGCATCATCCAGCTGCTGCAGAACTGACTCAATGTGGCTGATGGAGCTACTGTGGGGGGTCTTGTTGTTGGACACGGCAGAGTCCCTGTGGCATAGTGGGACAAAAAAGGGGGACCTTGCGTGTTAAACGTAACATAGGAGCAGGGGGTTTTCCTTGTCTGAGCAAGCTGGATGTCAACCAGCTGATTCACTCAGGATGTTTATCAGACTCCTACTGTGAGCTTGGCACAACTTGCTTAGATGAACCAAAGATACATGTATCCTCTTTGTAAGGCATGGCATTGTAGCTTTGAGACTAGCTGCTCTCTTATTCCCCAGACAGTATTGTGGAAGGAGAAGGGGGGATCAAATGAAATAATGTATGGGGAAGGGCTCTCCAAAGCATAAAATATCAGGAAATGGAATGGTTCCATACATACATGTAGTCTAATAGGTATAGTTTAAATACACACACATACACATGCATAAGAGTAGACCTATTAATCACAGTACGTAAGAGTAGACAAAGACATATGAAAAGCACCCTTCTTATTTGTGCCTCACAGGATTTTGGTTAATATAAAATAAGATCCCGACTACCAAAATTATCCTTCTCCTTTATAATACTATGCCAAAGTGGCAGGCTAGTGTTATTACACAGCTTTAAGCTGTAGTCAGGAAAGCATGGGCTCTGGGGGCTGCAGGCCTGGATTACGTCCCCGCTCTAATATACATGGGCTGGTGGCCTTGGGAAATCACTTCCCTGAGCCCCGGTTGCCTCCAGTAATGTGGACTTAATCCCTGCCCTGCTCACTTCACAGTTTGCTGTTAAATAAGACAGTGTGTGACCATGCTCTGTGACCAGGAACATGCTGTATGAATGACTGCTAATCCTGAAAGGATGCAAGTGAAGTGCTGATTGGGGGTACAGGCCCCTTGGGGAGAGGAGAAGGTAGGGCACAAGAGGCCAGAACAACAAGAAGGTTCTGATGAGTTTTGATTGGGGCATTAGAAGAAAAGGATGAACTTGACCTAGTAGATGGAAGGGCTTTGCTTTCTGAGCAGGGAGAGTCCATATAAAAGTAGCAGGGGGGAGGTGACACATCGTAGAGAGGAACCAAGAGATAAACATATTCATCTGCTCAGAGAAGTGAGGGGTGGTGAGGCCTCCAAAGAGATCATTAAAATAGGAAAACTTTGGAGGTTAAGAAGTTTAGATTCTATAAAGCCAGGAGTAAGCTAGAGCCCTAAAATGTGAAATAAAAGGGCACATTGATCATCTTGTGATGTCTTATTTCTTATACAATTTAAGAAGTCAGAGGGCAAAGGGAAAATCATGAGTTTTGAATCCTCTCATCAGCAGGCTTTCTGAAATCTAGTCCTCTTAGCCTGGCAAAGGTGTGTGAGCTCACACTACCTGTTTCTGAAGGGAGCATAAGGGCAGTCTGTCAGGAGCCTTTCCTTTCATTTAGAAAGCTCCCAATCCTACCTCCTAACCCTGCCCTGTTTGGACATGAAATACCACCATTGCACAGGCACCCCTAGTCATGAGAAAAACATGAGATGTGCCCAATACTGTGCATTATACATTTGTTGAGGACTTCGCTGCTGGGAGGCTATAATTATCCTCGTTGCTCCTCTCAGTCTTTCGCCATTACACTGCTTCCAGAAGAAAGAGAACAATTTCTGACCATTTTGCACAGTACCTACGTCAGAGTAACACTCACCAGGAATCACAGAGATGATGCAAAAGCCATCTTAGGTGTGCTTCAATGACAAGTGCCAGGAGAGTCTCGGAAACAGAGACTTATGTGTGCTCTGATGTATATAAGGCATCCTGCCAATGTCCATTAGGCACATTTACTTCTTTTTCTCTTTGACTAGTCTTTATATTAAGGAGGGGAGCCTGGGCTAGAGTCAGGCTTTTGGGGGAATGAATAGTCACCAGGGGCTCTTGGTCACACACCTATGGTCTGCTCTGAAATCCATGGAACTTAAACTTGTAGGACAGGCATCAGCTACGTCATTGCTTTCACCATCCCTGAGCAGCCTTCAGGCCTTACGCATTGTGCAAGGTTGGCAGTTATTAAGAGCAAGTGCCATCTCTGTAGCCCCAGCCCCACAGAGAGGGAAGCCAGCCATACTTGTGAAAAAAAATTTGGAGGGAAAACACAAAGCTATCACAAAATTGCAGAAATGACAGAGCTCCTTCAGGGAACCATTTAATCACACAGATGAAGCAGCTGAGGCCCAGAGACAGTGACTGTCTACTATTTGGAATTTTTTCAGAAGCAAGTAACAGTCGAGTTTCCTAGGGAGGCAGACACAACTCATGTATTATATATTCATAAGGATGAATTGGGGGAGGAAGGGAAAAAGGTTGTCTGGTTAGTATGCACAGGAGGACTCAGAACATCTCATGAGCATGTTTAGAATAGAAATGATTAATTTCCAACAGAAAAACATGCCAGAACTATCTGAAGGTAAGTTCTCATTGTTTATTTAACTGGACAACTGGTATAGGGAAAAGAGCCCTCTCCAACTGAAGTAATTCCCTCAGGCTCCAGGGTTGGCCTGGGACTTGTTGATGAGATTATTTCTGTCTAGACCTGCAAAGGTCCCAGCATTGAGTGACTTTTGGGATAGAACAAGTCTCTGCAGGCAGACATCATTAGCACCATCAAATCCTATTTAGACAGTACCTGTGCACAGGGCTGGTTTGCTGAGGGCTTGCTCAAGGCTCATGACACTTTATCTGAGGAGCAGTGCCCTTCACAGGGAGAGGAAACTAGATACAGATACCAATGGAAAGGAGGCAATGGTGTGGTAATTTCAAATGAATTTAAGACTTTAGACGGGATTTTCCTTCTTAGTTATATTTATTTAAATCAACAGAGAAGGAGTTTCATTTTCTGGACAGAAAGGAAAGATGGAAAGCTCATAAGTGGGTTATGGAGAGCAGGTGGGACAGTAACATACACTTTCTGTACTGTCATGGGGCCAAAGCCAGCCATTTTTACTGACTGGGGAACTAGAGTTCAGAGTTCAGCCTGAGGTCAGATGCCAAAGAACACTATATTCCATAATGGCTATTTCTCCACCTGACCAAATATGCCATACGTTTTAATGAAGATGGTATTTATTTTCTGCTGAATATTGTTAACTTTAGTTGTTGTAATTATAATTGTATTGTAATTGTTGTTAATTTTATGTAACTTATTGATTGCTGAATAACATCACAAATGATAAATAATGCTTTGAAATATCAGAGCTTGTCTGTTTACAATTTTCTTCTAAACTCAAGTTGGGTATGGTGCAGGCATTTTTATATCTGACAGATGGACAGACTGAAGCTCACACAAGACCACAAAGCTGGCTGAGGCTGAGCCAAGACCAGGACATGACTTATCTCACATCTAGTCCGAGGCATTTCCCACTGGAAAGCACGGCCCATGCTGACCTGGCCTCGCTGAGCTCCCCCAGGGAGGGAGGCGCTGACCTGAGCTGCTGGATAAGGTCTTCGCCTTCCTTGATGACATTGAGGGTGGCATCCAGGGTGGCAGACTGCTGCTGCTGGAACTGCTTGATCAGTTCCTGCACTGCATCCACCGAGTCTGCACAGACATCCTCCAGCATCTCCTTCTGAAGGTCTTCCATCCATGTCCACAGCTGTCGGGGAGAGAGCAGAGACCCCATTCAGGGCAGACAGGAGAGGCCAAGGCTGCAGCAAGCACAAGAAAGTCGGCTGTGGTCACCCACCCTACCCTCCACCAGTCAGCACAATGTCAGTCTGTCTTCCCATCAGCACACATATACTTACATTCATTACCCATCTCTTTTAAGTTTACTCCATTAATGTTGGCATTCCCTAAGGCTGGGATCATCCTTGGCTTAACATCTCTGTGGTTCAGGGAAATGTGTGATCTTAGAACAGGGAGGTCATACATATTTGAAAGACTAGGAAGAACAGGAGACTGGTGGTGGACAAATATTATTTCATCTTTCAGAAAGGAGGGCTTTGCGCACTTCCTCCAGACAGCTAGACATTGATTCCTAGAAATGTATCATGACTTTGCAAATATGAAAAAAAGAATGTGATGCTCAATAAGAAGCAGATGAAGATTAATTAAGAAAATGTGCTATGCTAAATTATTTTATTATTTTCAGGATTACCAGGTGAGTTAGAAAGTTGAATGTTAAAAATGTAGCTATTTTCAATATAAGTAAGAGACATTTCCCTCATGATAGTCAAGGTGCTAAAATACATTAAGGATTTTATTACTGGACAGACAACTTTAAGAGGGCTAAGTATAGTGTTCTGAACAGGATTAGCACTGGAAATGAGGAGTTAAACTAAATTACTGAAATCTCATTTATTGACAGCTCTTCCTCATACTGAAAATAGGTCTCCAGTGGCCTGCCACAATGTTCCACTTCTTATTGGCATTTTCATAAATGATGGAGGGAAAGACAAGTCTGATACAAGAATCTTCACCTGGCTAGCAGGAAAGATAAGCTCAAGGCTCTACCAGGAAAAAAGCCAGTAGACAGAGAAAATTAATAGAGTCAGAAGATGTGGATTTTGGCCCATATTCTTCCCATAACTCATGGCACCTTTGAATAAACAACTATAACCTTTGTTCTCCATGACTTACTGTATAAAACAGGTTGGGGAAAACATAAAATAAAATAGTTACTTTCTGGTTGTAACATCTGTAAGTTTTCCATGTTAAAACCTTGGATGAATATCCACCTCAAGAATATTATTTCATATAGTTTGTTCTTAGTAAAGTAAATTGTGGTATGGCCTTTGTAATAAGGGATAAGAAAAGAAACAATAAAGAGAGACACAAATGTCTTCAGATTGCAGACAAGTTATTTGTTCCTTGGACAGGAGAGGTCCTAAATGTAGCAGAAGAGGTTGAGTTATCAACATTAATAAGCCCTGGAGGTAACAAAGAAGGGGTACAAAGAATGTCCTTCTTGGACAGATGACAAGCTCTCTGAGCCTCAGTTTCCTCATCTACAAAGTGGGAAGAAAAGATCTTCCCTACTCATTCCAAAGATCATAAGAATTAAATTATTTACTTATTATTAATGCCTTGAATATACATACAGCCTTATTAATAAATCCACAGCATTGTGATGATAGCTATAAAGAATACAAATTATTATTACTGAGGGTCCCTGTAATTTAGCAGTTTGCAATCTGGTTGTAATTAGTTCAGTGTATTTTCTTTACAAATAAGCTTTTTGTTATAAACACACAATTTTTCCAGACCACATAAGCTGAGATACATATTCCTACAAGTATGAATGTACTTATTACAAGTCAGTATGACATAAGGAAGTTTAGGATATTGGTCATATAGCCTAATGTTGCTTCATATTTTCTGGCTGCCATTTTGCCTAGAAGCAAAACCATTTTCCAAGTGTGCTAAAGTCCTTATGTAAGAAATCATGCACTCGCTAAAAAAAATTATTGTATAGAAAGGCAATAGGGCATAGTGGTTAAGAGTTTCAAATCACAGTTGTACTTCATTTTAGCTTTGTAACCTTGGATAAGTAACCCACACTCTGTACCCCAGTTTTCTTTATCAGTACAATGGGAATAACAATAGTGCTTTCACCTACAGAATGGTAAAGATCACTAATAATTTGATGTGTCTATGTGTTTATGTCTGTGTGTATACAAATAATGAGATCTATATCCATATCTATCACTTCGAAACAGTGCCTGGCATACAGTTAGTGCTATGCAGGTGCTATATAGTATTATATATTAAAGTTATGTTTCATGCAAGCCATCTCCAGTTCCCACTAGAAGATAGAAGGTATGTTTGAAGTATCCTTCATTTTGGAATTTGTAGAAGGTCAACTCTGGATTTGGTCCTTCAATATGCTAGGTTGAACTGGACTTCTCTTTTCTGTTTTTGCAGCTTCATCCTGGGATGTCTAAGGAAAAGACTGGAAAGTCTAGATATTTCTAAAAAAAAAAAAGAAAAAAGAAAAAGAGAAAGGAAGGAGGGAAAGAGAAAAGAAGACATGAAGAAAGAGAGATGAAGAGGTGAAAATTGTAGACATGGAGCAGATCAGTTAAGAGAAGAAAAATAAACCCAAAGTCTCAATAGAGGTCAGGCATTGGGGCTAAAGACTGGTTAGGGCAAGGCTGGCACTCACTGTTTCAGGAGTAAGAGAGATAGGGAGGAGGCTTATCGGTATCTTGAGGATTTAATTTAAGATAATTTTGTTCTCAGAATCATCCTTAGGCTATTTTAATGGCTTCATAGTTTGGAAGTCCTTTTTGTTCCCTCCTTAGTAAGATGTGAACACCTCTGGTGTAGGCCTAGGGAAGACAGTCAACATCATTCCTCTCTGAGGAAGCCCACCGTGACTCCTGACACCCCCTCCTCCTGGTGGTCATACGGCTAAATTGTAGGGACAGTCAAAACAAAAAATGAGATGTCAGTGCTGCAAACCAAAAAACTAGCGAAAGACTAGGGACATCTGAGGTTTCACACAGATCTGTGAATTCAACATCATTAGAAAAATACATCCTTCCCCCAAATATTCTTAATTGGTTAATTGAAACTGATTTCTCAGGTTTCTGTTCATATATTCTACTATATTATTATAAAAACTCTTGTCTAAAGTAGAACTAAAACCTACTGGTCAGGAAAATCAAGTCCAACACTAGATGCAGCTCAGCGTGGTGGTTAGGAGCCTAATAAAGGAAGGAAGCAACTGGTCAGCCTTCAAGAGGATAACGTGTCAAATAAGATTGCTAGTGATTGAAAAGAATTTGATTCTGAAATAGAGAAGGGGGTTGCAGCAGCAAAGACAAAGTGTTAGTGACATCTTTCTCTATTTTTCCTTCTGTTGAAGACAAAATAAAACAAAAATGGGGGAAAGGAGTTTTTGAATGGAACTGTTAATTAATGAAGCTATTTCTTGCATCTGTCCTTGTCTGAATAGTTCTGTGACCATGGGAAAACTACTTCAGTTACTTCATATTTACAATGGTGTGAGTGCATGCATGTGTGTGCATGTGCATGGATATGTGGTTTCTCTAGCAGTTGAATGTTAAAAATGTAGCTATTTTCAATATAAGTAAGAGACATTTCCCTCATGATAGTCAAGGTGCTAAAATACATTAAGGATTTTATTACTGGACAGACAACTTTAAGAGGGCTAAGTATAGTGTTCTGAACAGGATTAGCACTGGAAATGAGGAGTTAAACTAAATTACTGAAATCTCATTTATTGACAGCTCTTCCTCATACTGAAAATAGGTCTCCAGTGGCCTGCCACAATGTTCCACTTCTTATTGGCATTTTCATAAATGATGGAGGGAAAGACAAGTCTGATACAAGAATCTTCACCTGGCTAGCAGGAAAGATAAGCTCAAGGCTCTACCAGGAAAAAAGCCAGTAGACAGAGAAAATTAATAGAGTCAGAAGATGTGGATTTTGGCCCATATTCTTCCCATAACTCATGGCACCTTTGAATAAACAACTATAACCTTTGTTCTCCATGACTTACTGTATAAAACAGGTTGGGGAAAACATAAAATAAAATAGTTACTTTCTGGTTGTAACATCTGTAAGTTTTCCATGTTAAAACCTTGGATGAATATCCACCTCAAGAATATTATTTCATATAGTTTGTTCTTAGTAAAGTAAATTGTGGTATGGCCTTTGTAATAAGGGATAAGAAAAGAAACAATAAAGAGAGACACAAATGTCTTCAGATTGCAGACAAGTTATTTGTTCCTTGGACAGGAGAGGTCCTAAATGTAGCAGAAGAGGTTGAGTTATCAACATTAATAAGCCCTGGAGGTAACAAAGAAGGGGTACAAAGAATGTCCTTCTTGGACAGATGACAAGCTCTCTGAGCCTCAGTTTCCTCATCTACAAAGTGGGAAGAAAAGATCTTCCCTACTCATTCCAAAGATCATAAGAATTAAATTATTTACTTATTATTAATGCCTTGAATATACATACAGCCTTATTAATAAATCCACAGCATTGTGATGATAGCTATAAAGAATACAAATTATTATTACTGAGGGTCCCTGTAATTTAGCAGTTTGCAATCTGGTTGTAATTAGTTCAGTGTATTTTCTTTACAAATAAGCTTTTTGTTATAAACACACAATTTTTCCAGACCACATAAGCTGAGATACATATTCCTACAAGTATGAATGTACTTATTACAAGTCAGTATGACATAAGGAAGTTTAGGATATTGGTCATATAGCCTAATGTTGCTTCATATTTTCTGGCTGCCATTTTGCCTAGAAGCAAAACCATTTTCCAAGTGTGCTAAAGTCCTTATGTAAGAAATCATGCACTCGCTAAAAAAAATTATTGTATAGAAAGGCAATAGGGCATAGTGGTTAAGAGTTTCAAATCACAGTTGTACTTCATTTTAGCTTTGTAACCTTGGATAAGTAACCCACACTCTGTACCCCAGTTTTCTTTATCAGTACAATGGGAATAACAATAGTGCTTTCACCTACAGAATGGTAAAGATCACTAATAATTTGATGTGTCTATGTGTTTATGTCTGTGTGTATACAAATAATGAGATCTATATCCATATCTATCACTTCGAAACAGTGCCTGGCATACAGTTAGTGCTATGCAGGTGCTATATAGTATTATATA